TTCTGCCACGGGCGCGGGGGCCGAGCTGGGGGCTCCGAGCCTCGACCACGAGCGGCCCAACCACCATGGACAGCTCCGCGGGAGCCACGGCTAAGTGGCGCGGATGCCCGGGGCAGGGGCCAGGTGTCGCGTCTACACCGCCACTGCCGTGGGAAAGTAGGCTTTGGGTTAATCACGTCGCCTTGCTCTGAACTGTCCTCCAAGGCTGGGGATTTCGGGAACCAGGATATAGCCGGCAGCTTCCCTCTCCCCCAGCGCCTTAGCTTTGCGGAGCTCCTTAAATGGAATAAAACTCACTGCCTGAGGCATGCTGGGAGCGAGGGTCCCCGAGCGAGCGAGCACCTAGAGGAGTTGTCCCCGAATCCCCACGCAGATCCTAGCTGCAGCTCTGCGCACTGGAGCGGGGACGCGTTCCAACCTCTCCAGAACTCTTTGGTCTGCCCGGGCTTATTTCACTTCTGATGAATCACAAACTGACCTGGAGGGAAGGAAGGGGAGAGCACTGCCAGAAGGAGGCTCTGCTGGTGTGGACCCTGTCTTTGGGCCACCCTGTAACTGGAGTGACCCTTGTCCTCAGCCACATGCAGAGCTTCCCTGGAGGAGCAGGTCTCCCTGGCCTGTCCATTCTGTAAGGGTTGTGAAACCATACCCTGTGGGGTGGCGAGCATTGAACAGTCTTACTGCTGGAGACAAAACGGATTCCATGTGGCTACCCAGAGTCCAGATTCTTGGAAGAAAGGGGACATAGCCAAGTGCCAAAAGGGGTCCCAGGCCTCTGAAGTTCCCATTCAATCCGAGATCTCTAGCAAACTCTCCTACCTCTTTCCTCTGTGGGCTCCACAATGGGCAGCCCAAAGAGTTGATAAAGATTGCCTGTTGACCCAGTAACTCTCCCAAGATCCCTACCCTAAGAGACTGGGCCTCCCCTTGCTGTACCCATCACCCGGCAGTGAAGCCAGGACACTGGAGAGAATGAGCGGGCAACTTTCACACTTGATCTCCCACAGCCTTATTTCTGATAAATTCCCAGAAATACACACTCATCACCAACTCAAAGCCAAAGAGACAATTTCATCTCATTGTGCGTCTGGATGCACTCCTTCCTTGGTGCAGGGACTGTCAGAGGGCGGGACTGCACTCTGGCCAGGTAGAATTAGGGAGGTAAAGGCTTCTGAGGCCCAGGGTGGACAAGAGGCAGCTCTTTTCAGGTGGCCCAGGACTCAAAGTTGAAGGCAGGACAATGCAATTCACAGGGAAGCTCAGAAGCAGCCATGAGGGATCTGTGGCATCCCAGCAGACTGGTTTAGGTTGAGGGGTTTATTGTTTGAGTTACATGAGACTTGGAACTCTTTGTGATCTCTGACAAGTCCAGAACTGCCGCCTGCTGGAAGCCAAGAATTTGGCCTGGCCGGGGGCATTCAGAGGTCATCAGACTAGGTGATCAGAACTCACACTCACACAAACAGACACACACACTCTATTCCTGATGAGCACAGTTTTAGGAGGTGCACATGGGAAAGATCTTGAAGAACTCCTCTCACCTTGGCCTGGGCTCCTCCCAGGAAAGCTGCCTCCCTGGCTGAGCTTGCAGGTCCAGTTAGGGCAAAGCTGAGTATTGCAGGAAGGTGAGGAAGGGTGTGAGGCGCACTTTGATATTGATGTGGAAGGTCCCATCAGCTGCTGGTGTGTCCAGATTTCTTTCCTGGGGCAATTCCTCCAGATATTAGGCAGCCAGTCCCATTTCTGAAGGAGTCTTACTCTCACCTAACTACAAGAGACACACCCTTTCCTTTAGGTGGGTTTTGGAGGCAGTGCACCCTCTTTTCCATTTTGCTACCTTAAGGTCATCTGGCAACAGCCTCCCCTCTGTCAGCCCAGGAAAGTGATTAGAGAAGTGCTCTAATGGTATCAAATGAGAACATTACCATTGTGCAACTTCTCTGTGTAAACATAGAAAAAGTTCAGAGAAGGAAAGTTGTTTAGTTTGGTAGGATTTTAGAGTTGTAGCTTGGAGCTAAAGATTGGCAAATGTTAAACCTGGATGCTTATTGGTAATAAGAATTCCTGAACCCAGGTGCACTGTTTAAAGAGCTGTACTTACTTAATTTGTAATGTTGATCTATTGGCTTATTGTTTGGGCTAAGGACAGAAAGGGAACCAGCAGCTAAATAAATGTAAGTGTACTTTATTTCTAAGTTATGAGAAGAAATGTCCCTGGAGATTAGAGATATTTGAATCACATCAACTGGTGATTTAATATGAATTTAAAAGTCGTACATTTAAAAATTCAGAAAAACTTTTATGAAGGTGGATATAATACACCACCACAGCAGGCTCCGGGAAGACAGACGTGTGAAACTTGCTCACGGGCCAGGCATCCCTGTAGGTGTAGACCTCACAATGCCAAGCTGTCTTCACATGGAAACACTGCAGATTAAAGGCAGGTTTCAAATCCTCCTGTTTGGTAAGGCTCGTTTACATGATAGCAAGGCCTAAGAAACATTTAGTCTCTATTGGCACTTGTTCTAGTCCAAAGCCTTAAAAAAAAAAAGTTCCTCCTGTGTCTCATTTGCAGTTCTGTGCCCTCAGCATTAGAACATCATTATATTGGCAGTTGGGCTATGACATCAGAAAATGCCCTTCTCAGAAGAGGCAAAGGGTCAGAGTCTTGTGTATATATTGAGAACTTTTACTGCAAGCAGGACAGCTTGGATGATGTATCTCTATTGTACCTTTCTTTAATTGCCTTTAGTGGGAACAGAACAAGAGGTTTTAATTTTCCTTACAAGAAGTTTTAATTCTTTTAAGTCTTTTATTTTTTTTAAGAACAACAAAAAATATTTGTGGAAGACCCTGCTGAGAAGATCTCCCTCCTTGGGCCAAAAGAGCAGAGCAGAGAGAAGACTGTAAACCGAGAAAAAGGTGAAGTAACATATGACGAGGAAAGTTCAGTATTCCAAGTACACAAAGCGTACTGTATTTATTTTTCCTGTCTATATTTTCTTTTTGTGTTGGAAAGGAAATTCTAAAATTATTTGATAGATGTTTTGCCATTAATACCAAAAAACTTGGGGGGTCAATTTGTTTAATTAGTAGAAAAAGTGATATAAATCAGTCGATTGATGCCAGCCTTTATAATATTTATAATACATTACTAATTTATGTATTTACAACATAACTCATTTTTGAATCTGATTTTTGTTTTAACCTTTTGATTGGGGAGAGGTGACGTTTTAAAGCCTGAGTAGTTTGAAGCTTGACAACATACCTTTAGATGTTTTAATTGTGTAAGCAAATATTATTTTAATGTTAAACAGCTTGCAAGTATTAAATGGCTCATTTGTGATTTACTTATTTTTACAGATTTCCCCCTTTAGCTCTCATGATTACATTAAGGCCCTTCTTCTTTTTGGAAAGAACATCTTATAAATCAGCAAGTGTAGAGGCTCAAAGGTTGACATCCTGAGCGCTGACACTGCTCACTCAGGCCAAACACATCCAACACTTAGAAATCCTTAAATGTTCAAGGGAGGTTATGGAAATTCCCAATTTTTTTTTTTTTTTTTTTTTTTTCTTAACGAGAAGCCACGTTTTTTTAGCTTGGTATTTACAGTCATCAATTCAGGGAGATAGGAGCTTCTGAGAGGGGCAAGCCTACCCAAAGAGCAGCTCCTCGCAACTGAGCGGAAAAGGAGCCCAGGTGAGCCGGAGTCGGTGAGAGGACGCTATTTCACCTCACCTACCCCAGGTAAAACAAAAACTTGTGGACCAGCAGCCCCACCGCGGGCTTGACAGAGATCAGACTCCCTGAAAGAGCCGGAGAGCAGGACTGTGTAGAAGACAAACATCCCTTCATCAGGGTCCAGGCGCTCGCGTTCACTTAATGAGACAGAGGAGCCCGTGGGGCGGCACCCAGCCGCTGCTTTCCTCCCCGGCGTGACACGCTCTACCCAGTGATTCAGAGTGGCCACCCCTCCCTCATCCAACCCGAAACCCAGCCCCATGAAGAGCCCCGCTTGCCCCTCGCGTCTCTGAGAGACCGCGGCCGTCCCGGAGTCACAGCCGGGGCTCTGGAGCTGGGGTCACAGAGTAGGAGCTGGGGGGTGTGGTGGTGGGGGTCAGGCTCCGTCCAGCCTGGAAGGGCCGTGCGCTCGGACCCCCTCTCCGGTTCCAAGGTGGGTCTCCATCCTGGCGCAGGTTTCCGGGACGGGCGCCAGGTGTCCCCGGCTGTCCCCAAACACCAAGAAGTGCGGGCTGGACCCGAAGTTTGAAATGTTCCCGCTCCTTAGCAAAAGCTCTCCTAGCTGATGCTTCCCGCTCAATCTTCCCAGCAAAGTGCAGGAGAAGACCACCCCTCCCCCCGGCCCCCGCAGCGCCCCGAGCTTCCAGGCGAGCTCTGGGACCCTTAGCTTCCCAGGCCCCGGCCCCGTCCTTCCAGCTCCCGGGCGCTTTCTCCCCGTGCGGCCGCGGAGTCTCGACCTGAGCCCCGGG